ATTCGATACTGTATTTTTGGGGGAGAGGAAAGCAAAGCAGGGTATTTGAACTTTTTGTCATTCCCAAATCCGAATCCTTTTTCAGTAATTCACAAAGAGGTTGGTGTGTGTGTGGGCCCGGTTCACTCATGAAGGCTAGGATTCTTGTGTTTTGCCATAAACTTTATAATAATTTCTCCTGCGCAGTCACTATCATGCAGTACCCGATTCATCTTTGCCGTGCCCTTACGCTGATCTGTCACGGTTTCTTTATTTTGCTTCTTGTCTTTTTTTTTTTCTTTTTTCTTTTCAAGAATTCAAAATTTAAAAAAATAAACTGTCTAAAGGTTCATAGGATGAATGGGAAAGTATTTTTGAGAGAATTATATTTTGCTGGAAAACAATATTTAAGTACTTTGTCTAAAAACGATATCCTTTTTGTAAAATGAAATGTTATTGCATGCTTTTTGATGAGATGTTTACATTGTATTTAAAAAGAAAAAAAGGGAAACTTGTGCCTTTTTATCTCACCTGATTTACAGTTTTACAGTATATATTGTAAATAATACAGCAAGTCCTTATGTTGAGTGTAGTATAAAACATTTCTACTTTAACCATCTTGTTGGAATATTCGAGAAAAAAAATGACAAAAACAAACAAACGAAAAAAAAAATTAATGTGTGTTTCCCACTCGCCATGTCCTGTGTGTCGGATCACAGAGGAGAATTTCAAGAAAGGGGTTGGCACCAGGCAAAGGGCCAAACAGAGAAATGAATGTATCATACATCGTGAGAGACTTATGGAACTTACTACCTGAATGTTAGAGAGAGAACATTTATTATCTTCTTATTAAGTACAATTATTTGATTCTGCATCTTTTTTCTTTTTTTTACTTTTTGCATTGTTGTTCCCCGACTCATAGAAAAAAAAACACGATTTAAAAAAGGATTTATTTTGTAACGAGATGTATGAAGTGATGGATCCTTGTTGCTGTTGAAATGATTTCCTAATCCGTGGCGGTAATTGTTGATGAGCACCACAATAAAAATCAAGAAGTCACAAACTATTGAAACTGCGGCTATGTGACAGAACATTATTTTTGGCTTTGTGCACACACTGAGAGAAGCTGCGGTTTACCCGACCATCCAGCCAATTTCAATTATGACCCCCCCCCACCTTTTTTTTTTCTTCTGGACCTTCAAAATAAAAGTATCAAAAAATGCAAAGATGATGATGTTATCAAGCTCCATCTCCTTTATCGTCCTCCAGATATATGAGCTGGCTATTTTTTTGATAAATACTTTTGGATATAGTTTAGTGGGACGCGCACTTGTTCGCTTGCTTGCAGAGAGTTAGATAAGAAGATGAGCGTCACTCCAGTGTTGAAATCAGAAATCTGCTTAGGCTGAACATAAAGACTGGAAACAAGAGGAAATAGCAGGGAATGGTGTCGTTTGAGGCGCCGTCAGGCGGGGCTCAAGACCACAGTGTTTGAATATGAGCCACTGCTGGCATAATAGGAGAGGAGACAGACCTGGCACTCGCACAACGGCAAAGGTCACGGTAGAAGCATCATTTTTAGAGGTAAAACCTTTTTAAAATGTTATTTAGGGGCAGATTCTGCAATTCGTTTTAAACACTTATGGAGGTTTAATGTCCCAGTGAGCATTCAAATTCAAAATAACTGCCCGAATCAACGTGTGGAGGCATTTGTTGAAGGGCTTTGGCGCCATCAGTGGTGGAGTTGCATTGTGGCTGATGTGAGAGTGTCTACAGTCAGTCTGGTAAATTTTGGGGAAATTGAATTCTAAAACAGCCGACTGAGAGCGGTATCAAAACATCTCATCTCCTAACTCACCGCTAAAAGGGACTGTAAGTGTGTTTCCCCCAAGTGTCGAGGCAATGCTTCGGAGGAGCAAGATTAATGTATTGTTTACTTAATGGTCATCAATCACCGCCCACTGCAAACAATAAAATCAACCCTTACCCCCGTACTTGGGGGAGCGGCTCTATCTCCAAAGCTGTCCTAAATGAACTCCCTCCCTGTCGGCTCGGGATAACTCGGGATATTTGTCTGGGTTTTTTCTTTCTTTCTAACTGCAGTGTCACAGTACACTTTGGTGGAGTCACTGTACGTGGAGTCCCATCATCACCATTCTCTGTTCACAATAATGATTCGGGTGTAGAGAGACTAAGCCATATCTCCACAGCCATGGCAGTGCATTTTCTTATAAATATATACAACATTTTTTTTCCTGTTTTTTTAGTTTCTTTCTTTTTCCAATTTGAAAATAGACTTTTTTACTCAGATGCTTTGTATAATAATTCTCAGCAAACATACAGTAGACAACCCTCACTATAAACCAATAAAACATCTTCGAAAGCAGTTACTACTGTATATCTTGATGCAGATATTGCCATACTTGTGTTTGCAAACTATTGCAAGATTCTAATAAAAAAAAACCATTAAATTGAAGCATTTGTTGTAATTTATGGGTTGTGTGCAACTGTGTGCGTGTGTGTGTTTTAAAGGCGTGTGTGATGAAATCTGTACCAATGAGAAGAAGTTAGAAAACTCGTTTACATCATGGGATGCATATAGCCCACTTTGATCTTAAGTGGGCCGGACCATTGAAATTCACTCTTTCTGATAATATATAGTTGAACTGAAATTGTAAGTAAATAAATGTGCAACATAACATAAAAAGCTCTGGCTTGTAGTTGCCTGTCCTGTGATTAAACTACATTTTTACTCTGGACCAACAAGAAGAAAAAATGAAAAATGACCAAGGGGAAGATCTTTATTAGGAGGAAAAGGTCTGTGCCGGACCGATTCTGCCCCCCCCCCCGGGTCTTGTATTTGATACCCCTGCCCCAAACTATAAGAGTTGATGAATGTATTTGAAACAGCTGCATTTGGTGGGCGGTGATATTAATAAGGTAAAGAAAACAAAGCAGAGAGAAGCATCAGCAGGTACGCCATTCACTAGGAGAGGAGATGAAGAGAAACAGAAAGAGGGAAGAGTGAATAATGACAAAAAGGCAGCGGGCAAGCGAGAGACTTTTACAGTAAAACGACGCCTGTGGAGAAAAATCACCATTAACCTTGTTAAAGGCTGATCTGAAAACACGCCTGCTTTGCCAGACTGTAGAGCAGACAGTATTACTTTTTTTTTTTTTTTGCTCATTTTCCTCCTTCTCCCTCTCTCTCTCTGTGAATCCACAGCCCTCTCCAAATCTCCCCCAGATTTCCAATTGCTTTCACTTGTAGTCGTGCCAGATAAACAGAATCTATTGGATCAGGCTGATTTCACGGCTGCACCCGCACACATGGCGGCTTCTGTGGCCCACTTTCTCAGCTGAGGAGGCCCCCCCCCCCACCCCCTTTCCGCAAACACACGAAAACACACTCTTTCCTTTATGTTTGAAATTCACTTTCCTCCAAATTCCCACTCAGTTTTCAGCCCCGGTAATACACCGAGTCTACGAGTGTGAAGCGTGATGGAGACACAGGAAAGTATTAAGGCAGTTGTGCCATTTTCTCACGGTTGCAGGTAAACTGCTGCGCTGCTTTGATCTGGGCTGAGTCACGGCATGGTGTGTGTGTGTGTGTGTTTTTTGGGGGCTGAAGGACACTGCGTCATGGGAGGTAGAGGACAGCTGGCACACAGCCGGTGGGGGGCTGGGATGTGAGAAATGAACGCATCTATCTGGATTTTTTTACTCACACACATCAAGTAAGTCGACATGGTGACACTGATGTATACATCACCCCAGTCTGATGCACACTAATGAATAATGCATGCACAGGTAGGCTGACCTCAATCTTAAGTGGCAGTGGAGGGCAGCTCAACAAGCCTCAAATATGAAAAGCCCAACGCTGTTCCTATTCAACAATTTCACACAATGACGAGAACTAATAAATGAATGGAGCTTAATTGATTTTGAAACTACTAGAGCCTCAGTGAATCACTGGCTGAGGCAGCAGGGAGCAGAGATGAGCCTAAATACTACTGAGAGAGAGATAGGTAGGCAGATCGTTGCAGCATGGCATGCTTTCTGACTGACAGTCCAAAGAGTGTGAGAGGCAGGCAGGGCGCACGTCTATGATTCAGCAGTATTCTGCTGGAGGGAAGATGATGAAGAGCCATAGGAGTGGGTGGCAGTGGTGGTGGCGGTTGTGGTAGTTGAGGGACTATTGTGCCCATCTCATTAACTATGCCTCATTTCATAATGTTAATGTTACAGTTGCTTCAGGGGGGCTGGTGGACATGTGTCACCCACTAAAACCACTAAAAACCTTTCTTTAAATGGACAAAGCCTGCATGTGTTTACGCTGCTAAACAGCGCATCAGCCCGTTCACTGGAGGCCTGAGTGTAGCAGGGGGTGCACTGATGGTGATTATGTAACAGAGGCCGAAGCTCTGGGTCTGGAGGCCATTTGGTGTGTTAATTACACAGATGTAGTCTAAGAATTAACATGCGTGAGGCTGAGATGTTAATGGATCAGGGAGTGGTGAGGAGGGTGGATTAGTGTGTTTTTCCTCCATAAAAGATTAACATCTATTTTTAATCCCTTTATGGAAAGTTTTTTTGGAAGTAGCTTTTAGTCGGAGGGGCCCAGCACAGGTCAATATAAAGAGGAAGGATTACATTACACCACAGGGTTCAGTGTATGTGAAGTGGCTGCAGGATGAATCCGCATTTCATCATTTTATTCTTAGACTCTGTGGGAAACTGGGAGCCTTTTCAGTGACACAATGGATGAATCAGCAAAAAAACCACACACGTTTCACATTAATAAAGCTGCACATTTCCCAGACAAAGATCTAAACGGCAAACTTTCGTTATAACTCTCAGTTGGCACAATACGGCCATGAAATGTGTGTCGTTTAATAGGCTGTTGTGAGATTAGTCCAATAATTAAAGAAACTGTTAAAGACCTTAATTTGTAAAAATAAATAAATAAAATTAAATAAATCATTTAGCGTATTTTTTCATGACAAGAATATGCAATGCAGTGAAAGAACAAAAATAGATATCTTTATTTGTTTAACATTGATCAAGAAGTTACCCAAAGGTAAATTTTAAAAACGAGAGAGAGAAAAGCCAAGAACCTTTACAAACGTCATAAATCATTGTCTTAAATTATTGTAACCTCAGCTGCAAACACAAACAATCAGCTGAACCGAAGCTCTCAGACAAATGAAAGTGTTTCGCTGAACAGCTGAAGGATAAAATGTATTATGGTGTGCGCACATGCTAAAACCAAATCTAAATGACAACCTAAAAAAACTCATCCATTACTTAGCGCAGTAAATATACTTGGTTGTAACTCTTTAGGGCTTTGTACACTCGATGGATGCGAAACGGTACAAATATTTCAAAGTACTGCATTTCGTGGTCTCGCTCACAATAAAACACACATTTCCGATAAGTTAATAAAGAACTAATAAAAGTCAAAATTCAGACTTTCTGGGAGTGTCTCATTCCTTTGCTCTGAAGAACCTGAGTAACGTTGAACTCGAAAAACAACAAACCAGACGGAGGATTTGAGAAGAAAAACACTTGGTTTCGATCACCTGCCGAAATCGACTGCGGCTGATTGTCAGGTGTTAGTGTTTAACCCAACAGGTTCCATCGGGTGGCTAAGAGGCGTTTCTGAAAAAGTGCGGCAGCAACGATACGGCACTGTAAATTAAAATGAGAAAAAAAAAGAAGAACAAAACAAAACGTGCAATCAATGCGCCAATTACACAAAATACAATTACATCAGCAGTGTGCCTCCTTTTGCATGTCTAGCTATTCTCAAAAGAACAGAACATCGCAAAAGCGTATAAATGAAAAGTTCGCCCGATCGTTTTCATACATACCCGTACGCATGTTTACACCGGGTGCTTTGACTGTGAAGGCACAAAGGGTATCTCAAACAAATTTGCGTGGATCAATGTCAAGGGCTGTGGCGGGTTGTGAGGGGGTCAGTGTTACAGTGGTTTTGAGTGCTGACATTCTACTTTGTGGTTTCTGAAGATCACCCTTTGACTTTGAGCTCATGGATACCATGTATAACAGGGCAGAGGGCGCTTAGAGAGACGCTTCTCCTCTGGTTCTGCTAAGTTCCTTGGATAGAGGCTACAGCATCTTCATATACAGCAGAGCACTGGAAGTGCAATCCCATTTTGCAATTACAATTGTCAAAAATCAGGTGAACACTTGGCTAAAATGAACAAACACATAAACATGCTTGCAAATGCATTGTAAAGTCTACTTGCCAGCAACAAACAAACAAACAAAAATGCACCAATAACATCATATGGTGTTGTCATTACTGATTGAGAAAATTCAGGGCTTCGATTGAACGAGGCTATCGAGGCACGTGCATCTTCCCATAGTTCCCTCGGCGAACGTGATGAAATGTCCATAAATATTTCCTTTTGGTTCTACAGCATCTCCACATAGTTTTCAGGGATGAGGCCCCTCTTCCCCTCCAGCTCCCCCTCCAGCCAGCCCGGCTCCCTCGACTGGGTCACTGCAAGAGAGGACACAGTGTCACTGACGGGGGGGAACAACAGCATGGGAGGGGATGAGGGTGGGAGAGAGACAGAGGACACTGGGCCTCCAGTGAGTACACTGTTAAGAGAGTGTGGAGGGCAGAGGTTTAAAGGAGGATACAGCGATTATTCAGTTACAATAAACTACACTGTGACCCTGTTAGCAGGACAGATATGTCAGAAAGCAAATCCCAGGCTGCAAAAAAAGACCATACAAATTTACTTTAAATCCAGTGGTTATTTTGTTTTCTTTTGGCCCTTTCAGTTTAGTCATTTTACTCAAAACTGAAAGAAATAAGAACTTAAAAAACTAAAAAAAACCTTTCATATGGGTATAGACAAGTTAAGTCATTTCCAAACCTCAAAGCAAAACAGCCGCTTTTAGAAGGCTTGCTAAATTGAAATAAAAACTAATATCTCACTTTTTCCTGAACAGAATGGGAATTTCAAAGACAATTATTGCGATCTCTGTGACATCTAGTATCTGACGTCACCTCACCATATACGTTTTATCTGTTGAGTTGTGGTGGCATTAAATGAAGTGCATAATGAGTGGTGTAACAGTTAGTTGTGAAAAGGGAAGCAAATGCAGAGGAGCTTTAAATCTATGTTTGTTAAACCAGCGGTCCCCAATCCCCGGGCCACGGACCGTGAGCAGTTTGGTACTGGGCAGCGAGAGTTGAGGCTCAGGTATGAAATTCATGGTTTTCGGGGTTTTTAGTGTTATTTTTTAATCATTTTTATCGTTAACTCGGTTTCCCTGTGTCTTTTCCCATGTGTTATGAATAAATC